TCAATTGAATTTGTCGATAGGGACATATAGGTGGTTTTAATACCCATTCTAATTGCATAATTTACTGACAGGACACGATGTTCCCCATTTAGTGATTTTCGGAGCCATGCACATTTATTGTGTATACAAATAAATTATTAATTTTATTGTAATTATAAAAATACGCCCTATTTTACTAACTATTAACAAAATTATGTTTGCATTATACTTGATAATGAATATATGAAATTATCATTTATATGACATAACGATAAATACATTCAGAATTTTATATAATTGAAACAATATTATTTTTAAAATTTATTTTATTATATTAAACAAAATTAATTTTGGTAAATATTACACGTTATAAATAGATCTAACATAGAAACGCGCATTTGATTGAATAAATAGATAAATGACCAATACAGTATAGTTAGTGTCTATATTTAGACAAAAATAAAGTGATCGGAAATACATAGAAAAATATTTAAGCATGGTAATAACATAATTCACAGATTAAACCGATTACACAAATACATTTAGGTGATCAGGAGCAACTGAATTTTCATAATATTGTGCAAATTGTTATTTTTTCATACCAATTAACCTAGTGATACTAATCTGGTATTTGCAAAATGGCGAACATCCATTATAAGAATCAAATAATAATTGACACATAATTCACAAATTAAACCGATTACACAAATACCGAGACTATAGATCATGAATACGAATAGCGATTGCGTGTCATTGAGGTATAAATCATTGTATCCGTCGGTAATATTAGCGTAAAAGTCATAAATAGTTTTGCCTCTTAAGAATCCATTTGTAATTATGTTTATGCTCATTTCAAAATAAAACTTTCCTTTCAAATGATACCAGTATTGCAAAAGTGATGACTCGTATAAACGCTGAGCACTATTCATGAAATAATTAAATTTATGTATAAATAATTAATATATAATTAAACACAACATTCAATACTAACATAACATTAGACTGATTAATAAACTTAAAGGTGGGTCCAACACATAGGGGTGTTATAGGGACTGACAGGTACTGTTAACCCACATGTATGGCCATAAATCTGGGAAGGTATGGCTCGATTACATCCATCGACATCTGGTCCTGAATCAACACTTTATTACTGAAAAATGTACGAAATTTTTGCGGACTCTCAGAAACTTGTGAAAATACATCCATTAATTGTTTGGTATCCCAGGTCCTCAACCTAGTGGTGACCAGTTTGACAAAATTATCTCTAAATGAGTTGTTACCAAAGCCCTCATAAAATACCGGTTGCCTCCACTCGACTTGTTTGAATTCATCGGTGTATACCTCATACCTATCATCCAATAGGTCCTCAATAGTGTCGGCGTATATCTCGGGTCGGGTCACCATATTTGCCAACAAATCATTTTGTATGACATAAACCAATTGCGTGATACAAATGAGCCAAATTAGATAAAAATAATTACGGTGA